TGAGACAGACTGTAGGCAGTAACTGCCTAGACAGACTGTAGACAGTATCCCCCTAGACAGACTGTATGTAGAGAAACTGTAGAAGTATTCTCCGAGACAGATTGTAGACAGTATTCTCCGAGACAGACTGTAGATAGTGTTCCTGTAGACAGACTGTAGATAGTGTTCCTCTAGACAGACTGTAGACTGTACCCTCCCCCTCTATAAACCGGAGATTGTGCCTTCTGTAGACAGTATTCCCTGAAACAGAACATAAACAGTAGCCACCTAGACAGACTGTAGACAGTACACCCGCACCCCAGACAGAGTGTTAACACTAACCACCAGATAGACTGTAGACGGTATTCCCTAAACAGACTGCAGACAGTTTCTGCACACCCCCAATTCCCCAGATAGACTGTGACAGTATTGTACTCAACTGATTGTAGATAGTAATCCTCTACAAAGGCTGTAGACAGTAATGTCCTAGACTGTTAGTCGACCGTGTTCTTTTAAGCACTCTACAGAAAGTATCATCCTGGACATGCTTTAGAGAGTATTCTCCTAGACTGTACCTCATCCCCCAACCTGACAGGCTGGAGACAGTACCAGTACCACCATTTACTAAACTCTAGATTGTACCCTCTGAAAAGGCGGTAGACAGTATTCCCTGAGATAAATTGTAGACAATATTCTCCTAGACAGAATGAAAATAGTTTCCCCCAGATAGGCTGCAGACAGTACACCTTAAACAGACTGTAGAAAATACCTAGCTGGACTGTAGAAGGTATCCTCCTCGACTGACTGCAGATAGTAACCTCTTAGGCAGGCTGTAGACAGTATCCCCCTAGACAGAATGTGTCCAGTATTCTACTAGACAGACAATAGGTAGTACTTCCTAGACAGACCATAGACAGTATTCCATAGACAGACTGTAGATTAGAATTCTGCTGAGCAGAATGTAGACAACATCCTTCTAGACAGTTTCCCTGTAGACAGGAGCTACTGTAGACAGTATCCTCTGAGAAGATTATGGACAGTACCTCCCACCCCTAGACAGAGTGCGGACACTACCCACCTCATAGTATCCTCCCAGACAAAATTAATGTAGTACCCCTAGAAAAGGCTGTGAAAGTATTCCTGTAGGCAGACTGTAGATAGCATCTCTGTAGACAAACTGTAACAGTTACCCCCCCAAATAGACTGTGGACCGTATTCTCCTAAACAGACTGTCAACAGCTTTCTCCCAGACAGACTGTAGATGAAAACCCCCTACAAAGGCTCTAGACATTAATCCCATGGACAGACTGTAGATAGTCAGTAGACGGCATCCCCCTAGAGAGATTGTGGACATTATTCTCCTCGGCAGATTGTAGGTAGTAGCCTATGAATAGACTGTGGAAAGTATGCCCTAGACGAGCTATAGACATTACACCGCTCAACAGACTGTAGATAGTATCCCCCTAGATAGACTATAGGCAGTATGCCTCTCAATAAACTGTAGACAGTATCCCCCTCGATAGGCTGTAGAAAGTACACCCCTAGACAGGCTATAGACAGTACCGTCGAGACTGTAGACAGCATGTTATACCCCAGACAAACTTTAGACAGCCTGTAGATAGTACACTAACCTAGACATATTGTAGACAGTATCCTCTCTAGATAAATTGTTGATAACACTGTACATCCCAGTGAGACTTTAGACAGCAGCATCTCCAGACCAAAAACGAAAGAACTGCGGACGCTGTAAATCAGGAACAAAACCAAAGTTGCTGGAAAAGCTCAGCAGGTCTGGCAGGATCTGTGAAGGAAAAAATAGAGTTAATGTTTCCGGTCTGGTGACCCTCTCTCAGGACAGAGGAAGGGTCACTGGACCCAAAACATTAACTCTGTTTGTTCCTTCACAGATGCTGCCAGACCTGCTAGGCTATCATCTCCAGACACGCTGACAAATCTCAGAGAAATGTATAAAGAATAGGGTACCAATTGCACAGGATTTCAACATCCCCAGTATTAATTGGGATAAGACAAAGTGCTTAGGTAGGTGCTATGGGTGGCACGGTGGCCCAGTGGTTAGCACTGCTGCCTCATAGAGCCAGGGACCCAGGTTCAATTCCATCCTTGGGTGACTGTCTGTGTGCAGTTTGCACATTCTCCCTGTGTCTGTGCGGGTTTTCTCCGGGTGCTCCGGTTTCCTCCCACAACCCAAAGATGTGCAGGCTAGGTAGATTGGCCATGCTAAATTGTCCGTAGCATTCAGGGATGTGTAGATTAGGTGAATAGAGGGGGATGGGTCAGTGTGGGATGCTCTGAGGGTCAGTGTGGGCTTGTTGGGCTGAAGGGCCTGTTTCCACACTGTAGGGATTCTATGATTACGTGTATGAATCCCTTAAATGTGTCCAGAGATCTTTGAGAGGCAGCATATCGGAAGTCCTACAATAGAGGGGGGCAATGCTGAACCTAATTTTAGGCAATGAAGGCAGGCAAGAGGTAGATGTGAAATGGTTGGAGGTAAGGTTTAAATTAATGATAGATAAGCCCAAAAGTGGACCAGAAATAAAGGTTCTGAATATGAGGTCATTAAGACTCCTTAGAAACCACCTCGCATCTAGAAGGACAAAGGCAGAACATACATGGTACCATGGTCACTAAGAGAAGTATATAATCACTACCTGCAGTTTCCTTTCCATTCACCATTCTGACTTGGGAAGATTCATTATTCCTTCACTGTCAGTGATCAAATTCCTGGAAACCTTTCCCTAACAGCACTGTGGATATCCTTGGACCAAATGGACTGCAGTGGTTCAAGAAGACAGCTCACTACCACCTTCTCAAGAACAATTAGGAATTGACAATACATGGCCATGGTGGCAGAGGAGAAAACTGCAATTCAGAGTCGCACCTCTGAAAAGGTTCAAATTTGATAGTGAAGTGTTGGATAGATTGTTTGTACTTAAAGTTGACAAGGCACTGGATGGGAAGAGATGTATTCAAGTAAGAATAGACATTGCGGGCACTGGCCACAATCTTTCATCCTCCCTGGACTCGGGGAGGAGCCAAAAAACTGGAGAATTGCAAGCATTACGGCCTGTTCAAGAAAGGTTGTAAGGATAACCCAGGCAATTACAGAGCAGTCAGTACAACATCATGGTGGGGAAGTTTCTAGAAATAATTATTTGATATAGAATTAGTAGTCACAAGGAAAATGGTGGGTTGATTAGGAAGTTTCAGCATGGATTTCTAAAGGGAAATCATGTTTAAATGACTTGCTGAGGAGGTAACAGGAAGATTCAATGAAGGGAGCACCATTGATGTGGTATACATGGACTTCCAAACTTCTGTTATTGTGCCACACAACAGACCTGTCAGGAAAGGCAATGGTTAGCAATGTGCATACAAAATTGTTTTGAGTGATAGGAAACAGAGAAGAATGGTCAGTGGATATTTTTGGGCTGGAGGATGGTTTATAGTGGATTTCCATGGGGTTGTGATTGGGACTCTTGCTTTTCTTTATATATATTAATAGTCCACATCTTGGCGTGCAGGGAAAATTTCAAAGGTTGCAGATACAGCTTGGAAGAAGTTTAAACTGTGAAGAGAACAATGGAGAACGCCACAAGGTGATAATTTGGTACAGTGGGTAAATAGGTGGCGGAGGAGGTTTAATGCATTGAAGTTTGAGGTTATGCATTTTGGTAGGAAGAGCATTGAAAGACAAAATAGGTGGTACAATTCTAAAGCAGCTGCAGGAGCAAAGGAACATAGGTGTTGATGTGTGTAGATCATTGAAGGTAACAGAACAGGTAAAGAGAACAGTTAATAAAGCATACAATGTCTAGGCTTCAATAATCGGGGTATAGAGTACAAGAGCAAGAAGATGATGTTGAATTTGCACAAGACAGTTGTAAGACTTCAGCTGGAGTATTGTGTACAATTCTGGGCAACACAAGGTTGTGAATGCATCGCGGAGAGTGTCGAAGCAATTTGCAAGGGTGGTCCCAGGGATGTGGTTACAAGGATAGGGTGAAGAAGTTTGGACTTTCTCCTTGGAGAGGAGAAGGCATCTTCAGAATCATAAGCGGGCTGGATACAGTGGATAGGATGAAAATGTTACTGCTCATAAAAGAATCAAGAAAGTCAAACCTGGCACATAGGAAGATGGTTGTGGTTGTTGGAGGTCAGTCATCATCGCAGCTCCAGGACATCTGTTCAGGAGACCTCAGGGTAGTGTCCTAGCCCCAACCATTTTGAGCTGTTTTATCAATGACCTTCCCTCCATCATAGGGTCAGAAGTGGGGATGTTCACCAATAATTGCACAATGTTTAGCACCACTCGCAACTTCTCAGATACTGAAGCAATCCCCCATGTTCAAATGTGACAAGATCTGAACAATATCCAGGCTTGGGCTGACAATTGGGATGTAACATTTGTGTCACACAAATGCCAGGCTAAGACTGTCACCAATAACAGACATTCTAATCCTTCAGTGGTATTAGTATCACTGAGTACTCCACATGCAGGGGGTTATTATTGACATGAACATGTCACATAAACACAGTGGCTATAAAAACAGGTCAGAGGCTAGGAATACTGCAACAAGTAACTCATCTCCTGACTCTCCAAAGCCTGTCCACCGTCTACAAGGCACAAGTCAGGAGTATGATGGAATACTCTCCACTTAACTGGATGAGTGCAGCTCCAACAACACTCAAGAAGTTTAACACCGTCCAGGACAAAGCAGCCCACTTGATTGGCACCACATCCACAAGCATCCACTCCCTCCACCACCGACACTCAGTAGCAGCAGTGCATACTACCTGCAATATTCAACTCATCGAATCTGCTCTGCTGTTCAATCATGGTTGATATGTTTCTTAATCTTATTCTCCTGCCTTCTCTAGTTGTGCTGTTCTTGATCTAGTCCATTTACAGATTCGGACAATTACTATGAGTCCTCAGCTAAAAACTTGGACTAAGTCAATCTCTAGTTTATTTACTGTTCTTTTCCATCTCTTCCCAGGGGTGTTAGCAGTATTGTCAGGCGCTGTATCGAGAGGAAGACAGAAATAGAATATGCTGTAAAGGTTATTGACATCACATCTGAGCATCTGACTCCAGAGGAACTGGAAGAGATTTGTACATCCACTGCACAGGAAATCAGCATCCTTAAGCAGGTCTCAGGGCACCCACATATAAGTGAGTAAGTCATCCAGGCTAAATCTGAAATAATGAACAGCCATTGAAGAATTGAGTAGAGACTATGATCATAGACAGCAGACGTGGCAAGCATTTACATCTGGGGATAAGTGCCAAAGTTGTGACAGCTGTTCTAAAGATTAGTAAGCAAAAGTGTGACATAGGATCACACCCGCCAGCCAATATGACATAATTCATCACCAGCAGGACAGACCCAGCAAAGGTGGCATATACTCAGGTGGGAGTGGTCCCTGGAGTTCACAACATTGATTTTGGATTCCATCAGGTCTCATATCATCAGGTCAAACATGGACAAGTAAACCTCCTGCTAATTACCATGTACCCCCAACCCCCACCTCCTGGCCTGATAAATCAGTACTCCTCCATATTGAACAACACTTAGAGGAAGCAGTGAGGGTGGCAAAGGCACAGAATGCACTCTAAGTAGAGGACCTCACTGGGAGTAGCTCACCATAGTATTTGAGGTGACTAAACCCCATCTTCAAATTGGAACAAACTCCATTTTGTTCTATAGGTCAGCTTAAAACTGATCTAATAGTTTAAATTTGGACATACAATTGGAGAGGTGATGGCCTAGTTGAGGAAATCCATGATCTGATGTAAAAGCACTGATATATATGTAGAGAATAGCTGGATTGAAAGTAATCGAGTGGATGTGGGACGATGTGGAGGATAAAGACTAGCAGCAGGGAAGCAGGTTATTCATGTCTGTGTTGTAGTTATTTACAGAAAACTGTTCATAATTAAATAAAACATCATGTTCAGCCCAGTGTAATCTCTGTTGTTTTGTATCTGATCAACAAAGTTGCTATTCCTAAAGTAGCAATCCCTAACTGAAATTCATCCAACTACATCTTGTGTTTGCAAGTTTTCTTATTATTCATTTGTGAGACGTGGGTGTCACTGGTTGCCCATCTCTAGTTGTCCTTGAGAAGGTGAAGATGAACTGCCCTCTTCAACCCCTGCAGTCCAGGTGCTGACGGTAGACCCACAATGCCCTTAGGGAGGGAATTTCAGTTAAAAGTTGAATGTTAAAAGCTGCATTGTTATTTCAGTTGCTTTTCTGACCCCTTTGCCTTTTTAAAGTTACTGAAATTGTCATTCTTTGTGCTAATATTGCAGCCTGCAATATCTCATATAATAGTATATATAACTTCATCAATGTCCAATTCTTTGATTTATTCTGATGTCCTGTTTTAGGGTTCATGTGGGAGGGCAGGTTGTATCGACAATGCTTGTGTTTCTATGACCGAATCCTGGTGTTTAAAATTAAATTATTGAAGAGGATGATAAGGTTGCTGTTGTCCTTTTTAAAAGGCATTTAGACAGAAATATAAACAAAAGTGGGATATGCATCTAGATGGGATTATTTTAGAATGGCATCATGGTCAGCACAGACCTAGTGGGCCGAAGGGCCTGTTTCCTGTGTTGCACTGTCTATGTTATGTTCAATGAGTGACAGAGATGGGATATTACTATTTTTTGACTAAGTGCAAGTTGCATAAATTTTGGTGGAGTATTTCTCGCTACAAGACTGAGCAGTTTTTCTTGCTGTATCTTACCAAAGTCACCACTTTAGTTGCCCTTTCAGCCCTCGTGATGGGGATCACATCCTATTCTCTGTAAGTTTTACTCTATAAGTTCACAAATACACACGTACCACTAAAATTGAATTAAAAAGTATAGCTTTGTCCTACAGACAAAGGGGGTGCCATGGGTACCCGCATGGGCCCAAGCTATGCCTGCCTTTTTGTAGGATATGTGGAACAGTTCCTCTTCCAAAGCTACACTGGCCCCATCCCCCTCCTCTTCCTCCGTTACATTGATGACTGTATCAGCGCCGCCTCGTGCTCCCACGAGGAGCTTGACCAGTTCATCCACTTCACTAACACCTTCCACCCCAACCTCAAGTTCACCTGGACCATCTCTGATACCTCTCTCTCCTTGCTGAACCTCTCTGTTTCCATCTCTGGCAACCATCTAGAAACCGATATCTATTTCAAGTCCACCAACTCCCACAGCTACCTAGAATACACCTCCTCTCACCCAACTTCCTGCAAGAATGCCGTCCCCTATTCCCAATTCCTTCGTCCTGCCGCATCTGCTCCCAAGATGAGGCATTCCACTCCCGGACATCCCAGATGTCCTCGTTTTTCAAGGACCGCAATTTCCCCTCCACAGTGGTCAAAAACGCCCTCGACCGCCTCTCTGTCGTTTCCCGCAACTCATCCTTCACACCCCCTCCCCGCAATAACAACCAAAACAGAATCTCCCTCGTCCTCACGTACCACCCCACTGACCTCCGGATTCAACGCATCATCCTCCGCCACTTCCGCCACCTGCAATCTGACCCCACTACCAAGGACATTTTTCCCTCTCCACCCTTATCTGCCTTCCGGAGGGACCGTGCTCTCCGTGAGTCCCTTGTTCGCTCCACACTCCCCACTAGCCCCACCACCCTTGGCACTTTTCCCTGCAACCGCAGGAAGTGCTACACCTGCCCCTACACCTCCCCCCTCACCCCTATCCCAGGCCTCAAGAAAACCTTTCACATTAAACAGATGTTCACCTGCGCATTCGCTAATGTGGTATACTTTATTTGCTGTTCCTGATGTGGCCTCCTCTACATCGGGGAAACCAAGCAGAGGCTTGGAGACTGCTTTGTGGAACATATACGCTCGGTTCGCGACAAACGACTGCACCTCCCAGTCGCGAACCACTTCAACTCCCCCTCCCATTCCTTGGACGACATGTCCATCCTGGGCCGCCTCCAGTGCCACAATGATGCCACCCGAAGGTTGCAGGAACAGCAACTCATATTTCGCTTAGGAAACCTGCAGCCCAATGGCATCAATGTCAACTTCATAAGCTTCAAAATCTCCCCACCTCTGACCTCATCCCATAACCAGCCCAGCTCGTCCCCACCCCCGACCTCATCCCAAAACCACTCCAGCTCATCCCCGCCTCCTTGATCTGTCTGTCTTCCCTTGACTGACCAACCCCCATCCCAACTCCCCACCTACACCCACCTTTACTGGCTCCATCCCTGCCTCCCGGACCTGTCCGTCTCCTCTCCACCTATCTGTTCCTTTATCCATCTTCTATCCGCCTCCCCGTCTCTCCCTATTTATTTCAGAACCCCCTTCCCCTCCCCCATTTCTGAAGAAGGGTCTAGGCCCAAAACGTCAGCTTTCCTGCTCCTCTGATGCTGCTTGGCCTGCTGTGTTCATCCAGCTCTACACCTTGTTATCTCAGATTCTCCAGCATCGGCAGTTCCTACTGTCTCAAAATTATACTAATCCCACTTATCTGCACTTGCTCCACAGCCTACTGTGCTCGTCCAGATATGTCTGCCATGGGAAAAAGATTTTCAGGATCTACCCATGATAAGTGTAGAGAAATTTGGACTCTGCCATTTAGCTGAGGAAGTTCATCAAGGTGCCATAGTGCAACTGAAGTCAATGGGAATCAAGGAGAACATATTCCCTTGGTTGCTGGAGGCCAATCATCTCAGTCCAAGGGCATTGCTGTATTACTGTGGGTGTTTCAACGCTTGGGGATTTTCGGGTCTGAAAGGGTTAATTTTTTTAAAAGAATCTTTACAGTGTGGAAACAGGCCATTCGGTGCAACAAGTCCACACTGAACCTCTGAAAAGCATCCCAACCCCTACCTTGTTTCCTGTAACCCTGCATTTCCCATGGCTAACCCACCTAACCTACACATCTCTCGACACTATAGGCAATTTAGCATGGCCAATCCACCTAGCCTGCACATCTTTGGACTGTGGAAGGAAACTGGAACACCTGGCAGAAATTCACGCAGACACGACGAGAATGTGGAAACACCACACAAACAGTTGTAATAAGAACTGCCTACTAGGTTAGATTATGCAATTGCAGGCAGAACAATGTAGGATCTGAAAGGATTCCTCAAAGTATCTGTAACAATGCCTGTCATAGCAAGGCAACCTGCAGTTAACCTACCAGACTGATTCCTGGGTTGGCACTTCTGTCAAATGAGGAGAGATTAGATCCATATTGACTGGAGTTTAGAAAATTAGAGGACACCTCATTGAAATATATAAAATTCTTAAAGCTCAACAGACTGCATGGGAAGATGGTGTTTCCCTTGTTAAGTGCCATTTGCAGCTCCTTAGCAGTCTACATGCATACGCAGCAAGACCTGGACAGCATCCAGGTGAATGCTACTTGATAAATACCAGGTAAACATACATAAGTGCCAGAAAATGGCCATCTCCAACAAGTGAAAATTTAACCATCACAACTTGACATTCAGTGGCATTACCAGTGTTGAATCCTCCACAGCATCCCAGAAGTTACTCTTATTCAGCCATACTTAGGCTGTAAGAGGAGATCAGAGTAAAGTGGGTAACTCACTCTTGACTCTCCAAAGCCTGTCCCCCATCTCCAAGCACAATTGTGATGGAATATTCTTCAGTTTCCTGGATGCGTGCAGCTTCAGCAACATTCAAGAAGATACCATCCAAGAAAAAAAGCCTGTTAGATTGACATTCCATCCAAAATCTTCAACATTCATTCTTTCCCATCAATGGCAACAACATGTACCATCTACAAGATGCAATGCAGAAATTCGCCAAGGCACCTTTGACAGCACCTTCCAAACAAACAACAACTTGAAGGGCAAGGTCAGCAGATGCATTGGAGTATCCTCCAATTCCCTTCACCACATGGACTGCAGCAATTCAAGATGGTGACTCACTACCATCTTCTCCAGGGCAGTTAGGGTTGGGCAACAAATGTTTACCCAGCCAACAATATTTACATGTCAGAATTTCTTTTTAGAAATTGCATCCAGTGATCCAAACATGCTGTAATTTCTCTGATTGATAAATGCTGGTGATGCTGCAGGCACAGAGTGGGAAATTGTGTACTTTGCAAAGCTAAGCATAGATTTATATATAATGGGTATCAGAACTGAAAAATTCCTTTGAAATCTGACAAATAATCCATAAAATGTTTACCTTAGCAGTTCCTTTCATCACATGCATCATAATTTTTATTGTGATTGAGTAAAAGGTAAAAACTCCCTTCTAGTTCTGCAGCTCAATATGCATAACATTAAGGGAATTTAAGCCCACAGAACAAGTCGACTATATTGTGAAAGGTGAATACATAAGCTTTGGGACTCTTATTAGACCATAAGACATAGGAACAGAAGTAGGTCATTCAGCCCATTGAGTCTGCTCTGCTATTCAACAAAATCACAGCTGACCTGATTATTCTCATCTCCACTTTCCTATCTTTCCTCAAAGCCCTTAATTCCCTTATGATCTAGCCTCTAGAACCCTCTGCAAAAAGAATTTCACAGATTCTCTATGCTCTGAGAGAAGAAATACTTCCTCATCACTGTTTTACATGGATGACCTCATATCATGAGATTGTGATCTTTAGTCCTGGACTGTCCCACAAGGGGAAGCAACCTCTCCACATCTATGCTGTCAAGTCCCATAGGAATGTTGTATGTTTCAATAATGTCACTTCTCATTCTTCTAAACTCTCATGAGACCAGGCCCAACCTACACAACCTCTCCTCATAAGGCAGTCCCTCCAAACCCAGGATCAGTCTAATACACCTTCTCTAATTAATGTATTTTTTTCCCTTAGATAAGAGGACCAAAACAGTTTGCAAGAGCCCCGTTGTAGTCCTACAGTTGCCTTGTGTGGAGTCATAGAGTTGTCCAACTCGTTTGTGTCAACCTGACATCCCAATTTGATTTTGTCCAATTGCCAGCATTTGGCCCAAAACCCTCTGAACTCTTCCTATTCATTTACTCATCCAGATGACTTTTAAACACCAGCCTCCACCACTGCGTCCGGCAGCTCATTCCAAACACGCACCACCCTCTGCGTAAAAAAAGTTGCCCCTTAGGTCCCTTTTAGATCTTTCCCCTCTCGCCTTAAACCAATGCTGTCTAGTTTTGGATTCCCCAACCCTAGGTAAAAAACCTTGGCTATTCACCTCATGATTTTATAAACCTCAATAAGGTCACCGCTTTAGCCTCTGACGTTCGGGGGGAGAAAGCTGCAGTCCATTCAGCCTCTCCCTTTAGCTCAAACCCTCCAGTCCTGGCAACATCCTTGTAAATCTTTTCTGCACCCTTTCTAGTTTAACAACATCCTTTCAGCAAGACCTCCCTGCTTTTATACTTTATTTCCATTGAAATAAAATCCAACATTCTCTTGGCCTTCATGCTAAACTTGAATGATTGCATTTTGTGATTCAGTCTCAAGGACTCCCAGATACCTGGGTGCTGCAACTATCTGCGGTCTTTCTCCATTTAAATAATATTCAACTCTCCTGTTCTTCCTGTCAACGTGTATAACCACATATTTTTGCATATTATTTTCAGTATGCCAAGTTTTTGCCCACATGATTAATGTGTCTATATCCTTCTGCAGTTTTTTTTGTGTCATCCTCATCACTTGCCTTTGGTGTCATGTGTAAATTTGGCCATAGTACATTTATTTTCCTCATCCCGGTCATTTATGTATCGGAAATAATCACTGTGGTACTCCATTGCCTGCCTGAAAACGCTCCCCTTATCCCAACTCATAGAATCATAGAATCCCTACAGTGTGGAAACAGGCCCTTCGGCCCAACAAGTCCACACCGACCCTTGGAGCATCCCATCCAGACCCATCCCCCTATAACCCACCTATGCTACACATCCCTGAACACTATGGGCAATTTAGCATGGCCAATCCACCTAACCTGCACATCTTTGGACTGTGGGAGGAAACCGAAGGACCCGAAGGAAACCCACACAGACACAGGGAGAATGTGCAAACTCCACACAAACAGTCGCCTGAGGGTAGAATCAAACCCAGGTCCCTGGTGCTGTGAGGCAGCAGTACTAACCACTGAGCCACCGTGCCGCCGTGTCTTCTATTGGTTAGTCAATCCTCTATCCATGATAATATACCAACTCCAACACTATGGGCTCTTGTTAAGTAGTCTAACATGTAATATCTATAACCTTATGCTTTCTGAATATCTAAATACATTGCATGCACTGCTTCCCCTTTATCTATTCGACTTGTTACCTCAAAGAATTCTGATAAATTTGTCAGGCATGATTTCCCCTTTGTGAAGCCATGCTGACTCTGCTTGATTATATTACTTGGAGAGCATGAGGGCAAGTTCACGATCTCAACCTTGCCATAATCAGTGCGGCTGAAGAGGAGACTGGCGTTGGCAGTAGCTATTGCAATTTGTGCCTGGGCTGCAGATTGTCATAATCCAAGGAGATTTCAGGAGGCAAAAAAGAAAATCAATAATGAATAGAAAAAGTGCTGAGAATTCTCAGCAAGTTAGGCAGGGTCTTTTGTGACTCCCCTATTACTGCATTTGGATTTCCAGTATCTTCAGTATTTTGTTCCTCAAGAAATAAAACTGGTGAATTACACTTTTGTTCTTTTCTGTTACAGTTTCACTCAACGATTGCTATGAGTCATCAAGCTTCTACTTCCTGGTGTTTGATCTGTAAGTATGGAGGCAGTTACAAAGGAGATGGTTCACTTTCTGAAGACACATATGCAGGAGGGGAAAGAAATAGCATTCAAAGCCAGAACTCTCTAAAAATCTAAAAGTAGAGATTAAAATATAACAGTAAAAATAACCTCATGTTAAATGTCAGTTTCATAATATACAGAGAACAAAGTAGAACACAGAATGTACAGAGAAAAATAACAAAGGAAATAAAATAGACAGAAAGATTAAGAACAGCAGCTAATACAACTTAAAACCCGAAAGACTATTACAGAAGAAAGGAGAAGAGGATACTGCCACTTGAACAAGGAGGTGTTAAAAAAAAGGGCTAGTTAAAATAGATAAAGAGAAGCTAAGTTGGTAGAAAAGAAGAAAAGTTAGTAGAAAAATCACTGGGTCTGCAGGGGATATATCTTTGGATGATGAAGCAAGAAAGAAAAGTTTTGGCCACAGTATTCTAAACCTCCCTATGAGAGTCCAGAGGGCAGCAAGTTGCACATGTTTCTGTTTTTTTATTCAAAATAGGCTGTAAATATCATAGCTACAGACCAATCAATCTAATGGTGGCTTTGGGAAAGTTTGAAATGATTATATAAGACATTAATAGTAAAAATTGCATTAATAGATGATAGCCAACATAAATTTATCAAAGGCTAATCACGTTAATTAACCTGATTGAGTTATTTTGGAAGTTTTGGAGAGTCTTGCAAGTGTTTGATAAAGTGCCAAATAAAGGGCCTTACTAACTTGAAATTCAGGGGATTAAGTGAGCTGCCAAAGGTCAGAAAGCATAATAATGGTGAACAGGAGGGAGGTTTATAAATATTTTGTTGTTACAGTCACCAATACGTCCTCATTATGAAAGTCTGACTGAGCTCCAAGAATAGTTATTCTACTAAGATCTCAGCAAATATTTTTGAATACAGCTGTAGAGACAACATCCCTATTATCCTGTGATAACCTGCTTTTTAAAATTTGATTTGTTATTGTGAAATACAGTGAAAAGTATTGTTTTACGTGCTATCCAGGCAAATCATACCTTACATAAGTACATCAGTGTAATAGAACAGAATATAGTGTCACGGTTACAGAGAAAGTGCAGAGAAAGAGAAAGCTAGAGAATTTGGGGAAATAAATGGCAACATTCTGAAAAGTGTTCATATTACAGAGGAGGAGGTGCTGAATGTCTGAAACACATAAAAGTGAATAAATCCCTGGGACCTGATCAGGTGTTCCCTAGAACTTTGTGGGAAGCTAGGGAAGTGATTGCTGGGCTCCTTGCTGAGATATTTGTATCATCGATAACCACAGGTGAGGTGCTGGAACACAGAGAATGGCTAACATAGTGCCATTATTTAAGAAAAGTGGTAAAGAAAATCTTGGAACTATAGACCAGTGAGACTAATGTCAATGGTGGGTAAGTTATTGGAGTGGTTTATGAGGGACAGGATTTACATGTATTTGAAAAGGCAAGAACTAATTAGGGATAGTTAACATGGCCTTGTGCATGGGAAATCAAGATTCACTAACTTGATTGAGTTTTTTGAAGAAATTGATGAAGAAGACTGATGTAAACAGACCAGTGATGTTTTCTATATGGACTTCAGTAAGGCGTTTGACACGGTTCCACATGGTAGACTGGTTAGTAAGGTCAGATCACATGAAATACAGGGGGAACTAGCCAATTTGGGTACAAAATTTGCTTGAAGGTAGGAGACAGAGAGTGGTGGTGGAGGGTTGCTTTCGGACTGGAGGCCTGTGACCAGGATCAGTGCTGAGTTCCACTGCTTTTTGTTATTTATATAAGTGGTTTGGATGTAAATATAGGTGCTGTGGTTAGTAAGTTTGCAAATGACACCAAAGTTGTTGGCGAATTGTTACCTCTGAGTACAACAGGATGTTGATCAGATGGGCACATGTGCCGAAGAATGGCAGATGGAGTTTAAGTTAGATAAATGTGAGGTGCTACATTTTGGAAAGGCATATCAGGACAGGACTCGTATATTTAATGGTAAGGGCTAAGGGAGTGTTGCTGAACAAAGAGACCATGGAGTGCAGGTTCGTAGTTCCTTGAAGGTGGAGTCACAGGTAGAAAGGATAATGAAGAAGGTGTTGGGTATGCTTGCCATTTTTAGTCAGGGCATCGAGTAGAGGAGTTGGGATGCCATGTTGTGGCTGTATAGGACATTGGTTAGGCCACTTTTGAAATACTGCATTCAATTCTGGTCTCCAAGCTGTAGGAAGAATGCTGTGAAACTTAAAAGGTTCAGAAAAAATTTACAAGGATGTTGCTAGGGTTGGAGCTACAGGGAGAGGCTGAATAATTGGAGTTATTTTTCCTGGAGTATTGGAGGCTAAAGGGTTACCTTGTAGAAGTTTATAAAATCATGAGGGTGATGGATAGGGTGAACAGTCAAGGTCTTTTCCCCAGGGTAGGGGAGTCCAAAACTAGAGGGCGTAGATTTCAGGTGAGAGGGGAAAGATTTAAAAGGGACCTAAGGGGCAACTTTTTCACTCAGAGGGTGGTGCGTGTGTGGAATGAGATGCCAGAGAAAGACGTACAATTACAACATTTAAAAGGCATCTGGCTATATGAATGGAAGGGTTTATAGGAAGGGTTTAAAGGGATATGGGTCAAATGCTGGCAAATGGGACAAGATTAATTTAATCTCATCAGCACGGACAAATTGGACCAAAGGGTCTGTTTCCTTGCTGTACATCTCTATGACTCTGTCAACTTTAATCTGTGAGAAGTTCAAAAATCTGATAAAAGCAGGGAAGAAGCTGGTTTTTGAATCTTCATAGAATCCCTACAGTGTGGAAGCAGGTCCTTCGGCCCAACAAGTCCACACCGACCCTCGGACATCCCACCTAAACTACACATCCCTGAACACTACGGGCAATTTAGCATGGCCAATCCACCTAACCTGCACATCTTTGGACTGTGGGAGGAAACCAGACCACCCGGAGGAAACCCATGCAGATGTGGGGAGAACGTGCAAACTCCACACAGACAGTTGCCTGAGGGTGGAATCAAACCCAGGTCCCTGGCGCTGTGAGGCAGCAGTGCTAACCACTGAGCCACTGTGCCACCCAATCTATTGGTTGGTGTTTTCAAACTTTTGTATTTTCTGCCTGATGAAAGAGTGTGAAAGAGAGTATAACCAGGATGGGAGGGGTCTTTAATTATGCTGGCTGCTTTCCCAAGACAGTGGGAAGTATACATGGAATCAATGGATGGAAAGCTGGTTTGTTTGATGGACTGGGCTGCATTCACAATTCTCTGTAATTTCTTGCAGTCTTGGGCAGAGTAGCTGTCATACTAATTTGTGATGCATCCGGATCGGATGCTTTCTTTGGTGCATCTATAAAATAATTAGTAAAAATCATTGTGGACATGCCAAATTTCCTTAGCCTTCTGAGGAAGTAGAGATGTGGTTGTGCTTTCTTGACTGTGGCGTTGATGTAGATGGACCAGGACACATTGTTGGTGGTATTTACTCCTAGGAACTTGAAGCTCTTGATTTTCTGCATCTCAGCACCATCAATACAGACCGTGCCATGCCCTCCGCTCTGCTTGCTAAAGTCGATGATCAGCTCCATCGTTTTGCTGCCATTGAGGGAGAGATTATTGTCTTTACACCATGCCGCTAAGCTCGCCATCTCTTTCCTGTACTCTGTCTTGTTGTTATTTAAGATCATACCCTCTATGTGATGTCATCAGCAAACTTGCAAATGGAGTTAGAGCAGAATATGGCCACACAGTTGTGAGTGTCTAACGAGTATAGTAACGGGTTGAGTATGCAGCTTTGCGGGGCAACAATATTGAGGATTATCATGGAGGAAGTGTTGTCACCTATCCTTACTGATTACAGTCTGTGTGTCAGGAAGTTGAGGATCTAGTTGCAAAGCGAGGGGCAGAGTCTTTAGTCTTGGAGTTTGGAGATGAGTTTGGTTGGAATTATGGTGTTGAAGGCAGAGCTAAAGTCAATAAATATGTAGGTGTCCTTGATATCCAGATGTTCCAGGGATGAATGTAGGCCCAGACAAATAGTGTCCACCGTGAACCTGTTGTGACAGTAGGCAAATTGTAGTGGATCAAGGTAATCTGGGAACCTGGAGTTGATATGTGCGATTACTAACCTTTCAAAGCACTTCATAATGATGGATATCAGAGCCACCAAGCAGTAGTCATTAAGGCATGCTGCCCTCATTTTTCTTTGGCTCTGGAATGATAGTGGTCTTCTTGAAGCAGGTGGGAACCTCAGATCGGAGTAAGGAGAGGTTAAGGATGTCTGTTAATACTCCTACCAGCTGGTTCATGCAGCATTGAGTGTAAAGCTGAGGACTCCATCTGGGTCAATCACTTTTCAAGAAGGCTGATCTGACATTTGCAGCAGTAACTGTAAGTGCAGGTGCACCTAGAGTTTTCAAGGAAGGTGACACCATTTCACTGAAATTCTGTTCAAAAGAAGCATGGAATGCATTGAGCTCATCAGAGAGGGATGCATTGTTGCCAGCGATTCTACTCAACTTCGCTTTGTAGCCCAAACAATCGACATGTGTTTGTGTGGTTAGTCTGGGACTCTTGTCCAGTCTGGTATTGTTTCTAGGTGTCCCTGATGGCTCGGCAAAGGTCATTCCTTAATTTACTGTATAGGTCAGGATCACCTGACCTGCACACCTCTGACCTGGCCTTGAGTAGATCTCCAGATTCATCCATGGTTTCCAGTTGGGGAACACTCAGATTAACTTCTTTGGCATGCAGTCCTCTATACACCTATTGATGAAGGCTATGATGGTAGTGGCATACTCATTTAGTTGGCCGCTGAGTTCTTGAATATGGACTAGTCCACCGACTCCAAGCAGTCACATAGGAGCTCATTTGTTACCTCAGACCAGCACTGTACGACTTTCTGTACTGATCCATATGTTTCAGTTTCTACCAAGCACAGCCATATGGTTTCATTATCCAAAATGAGGATAGGGGATAG